CTAGCATCATGCAGTGGACGGTGACTGTAGCCACGCGCTTGGCGATCGTAATAAATTGGAACAGGTTGTACTGACTCATCAAGAAAGACAGGACGTGTGCGAAAATTCGGTGAAACTTCAGACTAATAGTGTTACTACCTGTATGTCGTCGCCGGGCCTGGTTTCCACCCACATACCATGATTGGATGTTGTACTGGCACCGTTATCTAAATCCTTGCCATAGTGTTCGATGACATACTGCAACTCAAAGCAATGTGGCGGCTTGGGCAGACATTTCGATGGGATCGAAGCTCCGAGGCACTTTTGATAGCACGAGTAGAATTGGTTGTAGTCATCCTTTCTCGATCTTAGCCCTTTGTGGGCCTCATCATTAACATCTTGGAAATGTCGGTATAAAGTGTCTGGTCGTGGGAAACCTCGCAGACATTCTGGACATAAATACTTAATCGTTGATTGCCGAAGAACCGCTTTCTGTGTATTGAATTGCCTCTGGAGGCTAGACATATTGGAGGGAATGAAGTCAAAGGAAGAGGATTAGCAATGCGGGGTAGAGGATCTTGGATGGGTCTTACACTCCTCGTCAAGTTTGACGGTGTTTGGTATGTTGTTAAGTGGTACTGTATCGGCAACAGGTACCTGCCGAGGATCTACTTTCCACTAGTGCGGGAAAGGAAACTCTCAGTATCTCTCCTTTAACATACTGATACATTATCCTTTCAACCAATCAACGGAAGAAGATCCTCTTCTCGTTCTCTTCTCGCTTATCTGACTTGGAATGGCACTTAAAATGAGGAACATATACTACAAGGACTCCCGGCAATTACTGAGCTCAGAGATATGGCGGATAATGAAAGCAACAACCAAGCCTGTCAGTGAATATATAAGTTTTGTGGGAAGCAACCAGCGAAATACATTTTACCACGCAAGAAATTTGAGGGTCAAGATGGCTGAGTTCCACTACGAAATCCAACGTAGTCTCCATACGTAAAATTGAGAGGTACTTCTCGAGCCTTCACTAAAGCAATCCGAAATTATTTGCTAGTAGAATCTTCCCCATTCACGTCGGAATATGTGGTTCATCAATTGCTGAAAGCCGTCTTGATATGAAGACTAATTGTTGTGGCTGGCTTTCGAAAGCCCCGGTTCGACTTCGATAAAGGCTAACTCTCATGCTTCAGAGGGCAAACCGGTTTCATATGACTCTGATGACCGAGAGGAACTGTTCATTTGAACTAAGACAGCAGGCTAATTAGCACCAGAATGCTGACAATGTTTTATTATGGCCTCTCGTACTCCGACTGACCTTTTTCGGCATCATTGGCATAATGTTCAACCACAAACATAACCTCGAAGCACTTGTAACCATACCGTAGCTTTTCGGCAGAGATTGAAGCTCCCAGAGCCTCCTGATAGCAGGCGAGGAATTGTTTGAAATCGGACTTTCGCATGCTGAGACCCCTATGGATATTGTCTTTCTCGGTCTTAAAGTGGCGGTAGAGGACATCGGAACGGGGGAACCCTTGCAGGCATTGAGGGCAAACGACACTTATAGCTGACTTCTGAATAATCACTTTGAAGGCACTTAGCTGTTTTTCTAAGCTCGCCATATTGTACTTTGATAGACGAACCTGATGCCGTACTGCGCTCCGGGGAATTGGAGAAATTAAATAAGATAAGAGACCATGTCAAAGACCATGTCAACAGTAATGTACAACTCAGACTGATTAAAAGACCCTCCATCGACTTTACCGAAACACTGCTACTCTAAAAGGACCATTTTTCTGAGGCAACCAAAACCAAACTATTACTGTGCGTCGACGAGTCATATACATTCTATTTACACTAATGTAGAAATGACTGCAGTCACAGGCATTGACCTTCACACCACTTTATTCGTTCAACCAAAATAACTGATTGGATCAGAAGCACTCCGGCTGAATTTGCTCTTACGGTTTTCCTTTGCCTCATTCCGAGCTGTATCCAGATCGGACTCCTTGAATCGTCCTTCGCGTATCGATTCAGCCATCTGATCCAGAATGATCCAATTCCAGCCAGCTTTAACCACTGCAAGTGTTGCCGAGCCTCCAAGTCTCTTGAACTCGCCCCAAGGAAGGCGGTCATAAAAACGGTACCGAAGGTATGTTACCACGAGATCGTCAGGCCCTCTTTCCACATCAGCAAAAATGATGATCTAAACATGTCAGTGGAGAGACCTCCAAGAAATTCAAGGACATAGCGAACCTCTTGATCTTGCGATTTAGCTTTGGTAAAGGCCAGCCATTTCTTGAGGCCTTTCCAGGACGGGATAGTATTGGTAAAGCAGTCCATTACTCCTCTGAGTAGAGTACCAAAAATTCAAGGAGAATTCAAAGATTTAGGGAGACCTAGGCAGGCGACGGATTCGAGGCAGTTCTGCATATGTGACTGAATTCTGTGGCTCGAGCTCTTTACTTATAACTCGTATGTCTACCATGATCCGCCTCTATGTATAAGCTAATGCTTGGGGTGATTTTTGGAGTGGTAGAAGAGATACAAAGGCTATCAACGAGCATTATCTCCAATCAACCTGATCTCGTTTCTAAACGAACAACCAAATTGACTCTACGCATACGTTCTGCGTCGACGTGATTCACGAAGGCTCTGATGAATGTGTATGTCATTCACAATAGTCGTATTCCATTTCAATTAGTGTACGGTATTTAGTCTCACTACCACCACTTTGCTTAATACTACAAGGATCGAGTAAAGCTGTAATGCATCCTGCTATGTTGACTTATTCCGCCCCGTTTCGATTTGTTCTGTTTTGTTTCGTTGCGTTTAGATCTGTTCCGTTGCGTTCCGTTGCAATCTGCTGTGTCCCGTCGCGCTGGCATCCATACTGTTTTTTTTCCATGCTGCTCCAGTTCATCGAATTGTTTTTTTTCAGCTAGTATTTTATGTATTTAAGGCACTATGATTCACACTAATTGTGAATGGTGGCGCTAGCATTTCGTCGCGGAAAATGCCGGTCGTTCAAACCGCTTTTCTTAGTTGGTTAGAATCCCTGTAGACGCATCACGTGAGGTAATAGGAGGGGCATAGTCCCCACATGACGCATATCTCACTTGCCAACATCTTCCGAGACATCGTCAAACTTCGGGCACATATTTCCTGCCTTACGGGAAAATTTCTGGAGGCTAAAAGCTACCAGCCAGGACTACCAGCCAATGTCTTAAAAAGTACACAACTTGTTGATACTTGAACAAGTTCCTTTCGATCAGCGCATCGTGTGCAGAGAAGCCGCAATGGCCGTGGACCAGTTTTATTCGAAAATATCCGTGGATGTGGAGCGAAATGATGAGATTCTGGAAAAAGCCAAAGAGGTCTGCTACCTGATGGTTGCATCTAGAATTATATGACACTTACATAACTTATAGTTAGATGCTCAGTTCCAGGAACCCGGAGTTGAAATTGATAGTCACTGGACACCTTATACTATTAAAGTGGTTCAAGGCATACCTGTCGACCGCCTCGTCGTATTTCGTCCTCATGAGTCAAACAAACTATTGGGATGTATCAGAGTATACAGAGCCGGGACAACAACGAAGTTATGGGATGTGTTTGAAACGGATGGCATATTTATTGGCAAAGTTCCGAAGGACTGTGCTTTCGAGGCGATGTTGGTGCAGGTGAAGATGCTCACACTGAGGAACCATGAGAGTTGAAAATCACTGGCAGATTATACTCATCGCCCTTCAAAGCTGCCTCGGTTCTAGGAATAGACAAGACAAGTGACGCGACACGATCTTGAGTGGGAACTGTGATGATCGCTGAGTGCTGAGGATTATTTGAGTTCTTGTGGAGCTGATAGAAGATATCCAAGAGCTCCGGTGGTACCGCAAATGCCACCTCGAGTGGTTTTCCTGTTTCGAAGAGGGATTCGTTTCTGTTGTACATACTCAAGCGTTGCATGCTGTTATTTTCTGCAGTCCCTCGTGGTTGAGTTGCATCACGGATTCCGGGATTGGGCATCGTTTGAATGACGCTCTCGATAGACTCCATGTCACCCTCAGGATCATGATGTTGGCCTTAATATGTTAGTCATCACCATAAGTTTCCAGAATTGCTTCTCACTGGGGGGAAATTACCTTCGTAGGAGAGACGCCTTCCAGGGGAACTATTTTCTGAATAAGACTGTCCTTCAGGTGCCCATACCTCACCCCGTAGTATATCAATTGTTTCCCAGAACTCGGAAGTTTTCTTTGTCAAGAGCTCTGGAAATCGCACGCTTTGGCCCCATTCTTCTATTGCTGAATAGAAACCGCTATACTTGATCTTCGGAAGACCTGAAACAGAATATTCAGTCATGCAAAGGTAAAGTGTCTCGCGACCAGCGATCTTGAAAATCTTGGAAGCAAACTGCCTCGCATGTCTCTGTATGTGCTTTTGAGTTCTTGACTTTGCAAGAGTCGGACCACTCAGCAAAGCTTTCCATTTTTGAAGTCGTTGAGATTGAAGATAATTTAGAGGTGCTGGATCCCTTGAGCCGAAGGTAAGAAGGACTTGCTCGAGTCTTCTTAGGAAGTCTGTGGTTTTCTGAGCGGAGTCCATGCTGGCTAATGTCGGTGATGGCGTTGACAGGAAAGAACGGCGTAGCACGGGGCGGAACAGAACAGAACGGAACAAGCAAGAGGTGGCTCCCATTAAGTAGTCAATTCCCCGCACGGGTTGTGGATCAGGGCAAGCTTATATGACTTGTTCTATCCAATAAAACGACCAAGTAGAGATAGATGTGCTTTTCCGTAGTGTTCCGTTACGTACGAAGGGAACCTCTAATTTGCCGGATAGGCTTGCCAGTAAGCATGTGGAATGAGCCGGGGTTTGCTTCCGTTCCAGACTGGCCATGCTCTTATTTCGTCCTGATGGCGAAGGTTCTGATACTGGAATGCAAACCGTACAGAGATTACGAAACTCAGCGCCTCGCTATAGACTCAAGCTATACGCCCTCTGCTGCCAATCAAGGGCAGGATGTAGGAACAGAACGGGACAGGATGAGACAGACTACAAGAAACTAGATTAAATCCCGATGCTAACATCAAATTCTCTGGCATATTAGATGACGATCTCCAGGGAATTAGAAGAATCAATCTCAGCCCATGTTGTCAATGGGTTGCAGCGCTAACGCGAGCCCTCGGATAGGTCATGCATGATATTAACCTTTGCATCCATGGTCTCGACTGCGCCGCTGCTTTACAATCACACAAATTGCGTAGAACGCAACGCAAGCCCTGTCCATCTTCCCACTCAGAGCTGATCAGATAGCCGCTCGTATCTCAGGTCAATGCAGTGGGAAATAGAAAGCTTGCTCTAAGCGCCGCCACAAAGAGCCAGCTTTTTCTTGCTGACCGAGATCTTCGATTGTGCCGTGACTTCATAAGTAGCATAAATAGAGAATCATCTCTCTAGAATATGGCTAGTTCTCCTCTTCTGCTTAAGATCGGAAGTAGACATTGCATTTCATTCAACTCCGCTTTAATCAAAATCTTAAGTCATTCTGGTCAGCATTGCTTATTCTTGTCGTGCTTCGATTTGAATGCTTACAGTTATAGTGGGAAGATACCAGAAAGATGGCGCCTCTCGGTCACGAAGATTTGAGAAATGTCGTTTCGGTGCTAGCGCAAAGACTTGATTCATTGAACATTGACTATGCGATAATGGGAGGCGCTGCAACCTGTTTGTTAAGCCCAGACCCGAGCCGGAGGACACAAGACGTTGATCTCGTTATTCATGTTGACCACCGGAAAATCACCGCCGACCGTCTTACGAGTACACTTCTTACCTCGTTTTCGGCTGAATTTGAAGGTGTCAATCAATTCGGACATGTCATTCCTGCATACAGGCTTCACCGACCAGGAGCAGCCACTCAGTTGGTGGAGCTGGAAGTGTTTGACTATAGTAGTTGGCCACAACGTCCCCAATACAACCTCAGCACCGCTACACGGAAGATGCTAAGAATCAATGATCAAGTGGTCAAGCTCTTTAGCCCAGAATGGATCCTGCGGGAAAAGATTTTATCCCAATACCAGCGACAAGGTAGTGCTAAAGAAGCAAACGACATTCGTGATATCATCACTATGATACCTCTGACTACACCTGGCATTCCAGAACTCGACTTCAACGAAAACCAAGAGTGTCAGATGGCTCTAGGAAATTTGCTGCAAAAGAGGCCAGCTTTGGTTCAAACTCTGAAAGCAAAAATCAAATGCAGAACCATTTTTCAAAACTAGTAAGTCTTAGAATATTATCCTCTCGGGTCGCTTGATAACTGAATGATGAAACTGCGCGCTTTAGGAGATTCCGGAAAACGCTGCCTCTGCCCATTGTCGATGTGCCAGGCTTAGGTGGTGGCTTCTGAATGGAGGGGCTAACGACATTTCATTCCCCACCGATAACCGGAGATAGTTGCGATTTGATCTGACCCTGAAGTTGAACACAATCCGCGAGATTTTCGGTAGTCTATCATATGCTTCTGTGCGCAATTTTCCGACAAGAATGAAATATGAATTGTAGCCGAATAATGAAAACAATCCCGAACTAGATCTAAACAGGATTTCCTCTCATATCTACTGGCATCTCTTTTCCCGAGCCTAGACGTTTCGTAACGCGTCGATCAATGGGACCGAAATTGGCCTCATGAATCCGACCAAAGTTGTGACTGTACCATTCCACTGCAGTTTGATCTGGGCAATGATCAAGAGCATCATTGTCAACCTCTAGGTACCCTGTCATCAGAGATACCCAGGACCTCAGTGACTCGCCCCACGCAGAGAAGCCTTTTTCTGTCTCTTCATCGATTGCAGCCTTAACAAAGCTTTCCAGGAGCGTTTGTTCCAGAGGGTAGCACAGGTTGCCGTAAGTCTCAAATCGCTTTCTCGGCGCTCCAATTTTTGCTTCAGTCAAGGGGCGGGGGAATTCGTCCTGGAAAGTGTGCGCAAACATGTTGGGAAACAAATACACTTGCAGGCCTTTTTCTGTTGGTTCGCCATTTGGATAATCAAACACTGCACAAGACCGATCCAAGCGTTCATAGCCAGCATTTATCTCCTCCAGCACTTGCTGTGGGTTCGGATAATTCTCCATGATTTCAGAAGGAGGTACGCGATTCGGAACACTTTGTTTGAATCCTGCGCTCTCGAGCCGTTTAATAGCAGCGGTATAGTCGTTGTCTTGCACCACAATCATAGGAGCCTATAGAGAATGGAGTCATTAGTATCGGTATGGTTGAATTAATGGTGTGCTATGAGAGGAAAATATTACCCCGACGGCGATAGGGACACCTAGATACCACATTGCGAGGGCTCCCCAAGGTACTACAATGAAAGGTTGAAGGGTTTCGCTAAGTCTTAAGGAGAGCCTATCAGGCTCAGTCTCCCTCAAGCGCCTAAACATAGTCGTGATGGGAAATGTGATGGAAAGAATTCTTAGTGATTTGCTTCGAGTGGTTATGGAGATTCTCGCAGAGCATAGATATAGTATCTTAACAAGGAGGTAAGGAAAATAGAAAGCTTCGAAATGCTCCTTGCGTACATAGGGTATTTAAGAGTAGCAGGTCAACCCGCGTTCCACTATCAGTATCGCCTGTCTTTATCTCGGGTCAATATAATGCCATTCCGAGACTAATATGGCTGAATCCTCCAAGGAAAATTAAAAGTGCCAAGACATTCAACTGCATCGCGGCCGTAAGTGGCATTTTCCCTTGATCTAATTCTAATGTATCACTCAGGTAAAGATGGACACATTCTCTGTGATCACCTAATGACAAGGCTAGTTAAATTTTAAAGCCTGATCGGAACAGCTCCACGAAGAGCTAAGATCTCGACCCGTCCAATAATACGAGGAATTCCAACGCTTCTTATTTCTTGATTTTCACATCTTTCAGCTTCTGCATGCACTGCAGTGATCCAGTAAAGTATATGGTCTGCTTCTTAAAGCGGATCGTTGATCTTTGGTCTTGAGTGGCGTGTAAAAGTACCTTACCAGATGCTGAGATATGTTGACCCCACTAGCAAATGATCAACCTGCCGATACGATAAAATCTTTGTCAAACATGAAAAGAGCTAAATATGTTTTGGCGTCGACGGATCCCAGCAGTCAGACGGGAGAATAAGTGATAACCTTTCTCAATCTTTGTTGTACAGGTCGGCGAAGCTGCGAAATTTGCTGGATGCGGCGGGTGACGGCTCGCTGTCGTGGCGGTTCAGTGTCTGATTTCGTTAACCTTTAGCTTCAAATTATGCGATGACATTTCTTATTTGAGCTTGACTTAAGTAACGTAATTGTCAGCCCGAGCGAGCCACGCAAGCGAGCGGCCACCCAAAACGCCAAATGCCTCACCATATGCCTCACCAACATGTATTTCTGATTCGGATATAAAATTATAGTGTTGTTGAAGCCCCAATCACACATTTCTAACATCTTTTCACCCAGTTCCTCGATTAGGACATGTCGTACGTATATGGCCCAGAACACCGCAGTCACCGCAGCTATACGAGTTGAGCAAGATTGAACAGTTTTTATAGCCTCAATGGCGAGGAGAATTTGGCCCTCTTGATATAACCGCTTTTCTTCTAATGATTTCGGCTTTCTTGGTGGTGAAATTTATTATTAAATTGCTTTCGTTTCTCGGAGGTGGGAGGATTCAGGGGGTGGGTCGCTCGGTTGACAATCACGTTACCGAGAGTTGTGAGTACACAACTTAACGAGACGAGAGTAGCAATGCTTATTTCTACTCTAAACATAGACATCACACAACATGGCTAATCCTTTCTAAGCATACTGTGGTATTTCGATCAGAATACACCCCAAATTTTGTTTCTGAGGGCTGGCCTTGTGCCACGTGCAACCTACACTCGGGAAATCGGAGTAATCTCGTTATCATACATTACAAAAGCCGCTTGTCCACTATTGGGCAGGTCCAGGTGGCATTCCAGCTTCAAACACCTCGACTGGGTTTACCACCGAACAAGGAGGTTTCGCCCAGAGTCCGCCCACACGCATCACCAAGCCGATACCGCGTCAGTAATTGCACAGTTTCGGTATTCTTTTGTGTGAAATCGTACAGCCAACACCCGCTTTCAGTGATTGATCGGGGTATAGGAGGAAAAGGTTTCTCAGCTATTTCTTCTGCTGAAGTTCAGTAACGGACGGAACCAAGCAAAGTCGTCAAGTGCAAACGCTCTAAAAGCAAAAGTCGTACGAAGGACAGTGATCTCAACGTTTTCTAAGAGAGAAGCCTCACTCAGAGTATCATCTGTAGCGTGCAAGGTACAAGAGAGAGCAGCAAAAAGGCATACACCAGGTCAGACAACGCATCGGCGACTCCGAAGAGTCTAAGGCAATATTACCAACTCTCCTTGAGCTTGCTATTTGTGTTAACCGAGGAGAGAAGATCACGATCACATCTATCGAGCGCAACTGGCAGATAGTTCAGCTATGCTTAAATCAAGACTCAAGAGGGGCGTCGGCTGTCATCTAGCACTGTGCTTGTCGAAAATGGAAGATTTTTTATCTGCTTTCGTCATCGCCTTGTCTTCTTGAGTTTTGATTGTGTCTTCCTCATCTGCACTTTCACCAGCAGGGGTTTTGTCAAAATCCTTGTCTGTTTTCTGTACCGGCCGTGGATAATATGTTTCCTAGTCTGTATTAGTAAGCTGACGGAAAGGCGACCACGCAAGGTACCGCCTACCAAATGAGACGAGAATCCCGACCAAAATCCTGTGGAATCAGACTGGAATGTGGTCACTTGACCCGATTCTCGAATCCGAATGCCGAGGCAAATATCAGCGTCGCACAGCTTGCTATACTCATAGGCCTTATGTATAAGGCTTTTCTTCCGCCGGTCTCGTTTCTGTCGCACTACCTTCTCTGGTGAACTGGGAACCTTGGGTAGCTTCTCGTTATCCTTTGAAGTAGTTCAACTAAAGCTCCTGTCTCCGGATAAAAAAGAATCTTGTCGATAATGTAACTACACAATATTGGGACTTGTAAGTTAGTCCAATTGCAATCCAGGAAGAAGAATCGCTCGACTTATCACTGGAGCGGTAGCGAGTCACCATGCCTGGTGCTTCTTTTGCTTGGTGGCTCACTCTGCTCGCAGACACCCAGGTCCACCGAAACTCACTGCCTGCGGCTCGCCCGTGCCCAGTGTTACCTTTGTCTGGTGGCTCTCGTTGCCCGCGCCTTAAAATCGCCTGCTGTTCTGCCTGCAGCTCACCTATACCTAGAATTGGTCATGCTTAGTGTCTACTACCATAGAGTCAAACAACCAAGACACCTAGGAATATGATCCCAGAGATGCATCACGCGTAGCCGTTTAACTCAATTGTGTGCTTACGATGATTGAGACAGCTGGCCTCTTTGGACTTATACAAATTGGCGCTGATCCTCGATAGTTACGAGTTTGTTCACGAATAGCCGCAGGTGTTGCTGTTGTATGGGCAGGGGAAATTCGAGCAGATACAGCTGAATGATTCGGAGTGGCGCCAACACACAAGCCAATGATGATGTTATCCAATGAAGCGTCCAGTGCTGTAACTGCCATCATTACGGCTAGCGAGCATAGGCTATTTGGGGTTCATCCGAGCGGTAGAGATAGATTTGAAGGTGAAGGCCGGCGCCCGTTTTCCATCATTACTTCTTAATATAATCGCTTGGAGGGGTTTTGAGTATATCTCAAATGAGGGCTTTAAAGGCTCCATGGGGGATTCTCCGAGAATGAAGAGGCTAGACGGGATTTACGATAATTCGACTGTCATAATTTGCTGCCTGTTGTGCAGTATCTGGGAGTTTGGGTACCTGGGCCTTCGAGAGATTGAGGAATAGCGTTTTCTGACTTGGCGTGGTCTGGGCCTGGAGATACGCATATTCTGTGCT